AATCTAACTTTTATCTTATACAGAACGTCACAATTTATTTCTACCTGTTCATTAATGATAATTTCTGAAGCCACCAAACCGACCTTCACTTTTGATCAAACATTCGTAGAGTTTCGACGTGGAGTAATGTCATTTTTTATTTCGTTTCTCTCTCTTGAGGCTCTTGGGCGCCGTTTAAAATTAGACCGGTAACAACTAATGAATATTTACCTAGTTAATTAATACTATCATGTACGAGGGACCAGGGATAAAATGCTTCTACTTTACTATCATGGTCACTGTGTGTTGACTAATGTTTGCGTCCTGGACCAAACCAATAGTGTTTCCGAGCGACAAACATTGATCTCAACACAAAGTAACACGATTTTTTGTTCCAATTGAATCATTTTATTACAAGATGTCACTTTGTATGTTAATTAAAACTCAGTACAAAAATTAATAGCATACGTAGAGGAATATAAATTCTCAGGACGTGTAATTTTAATAAGTCTCTCAGTAGCGTTAAGGCATTATACTTATTCTGGCTACGTCCCTCTAATGAGGATAGTATACTGTGTTAAGTCCTTGTCAGCCGTCATACTTGAGTCAGCCGTCATACTTGAGTCAGCCGTCATACTTGAGTCAGGTCTTATGTGATTCCTATGACTCGGTTCCTTCTCTGATATATTGTACAATGAGATCAACACACGCACTGCTATTATTATAATTATTATTATTATTATTATTATTATTAATTTTTATTATTATTATGCATTGGGTTCAAGTTAACCTATTTATTTAAGTTTATCGGTAATTTTTTATTTTATTTTTTCATGGTCATTATTGTCTGTTTGTGAGTCTATTTATGTCGGTCTGAATGTTAAGTCCTTCTGTAGGTGTTTGTTTCGTTATCACTAAATCTTCCTCTTTACATGTTCAGTCGTTGATGACCATTGTGTTCAGTCAGTAAATACCACCATGTTATTTTCCTCATGTTCTGTTGTCCCCACTGATATAGAAGATAATTTTTAGGCAATATTCTAATGTTTTAAAAGAAAATAAAGAAAAATATAATGTTACATATACGACAATTATCAGAAATAGACAACAACGACTGTACCGTGTAGGTCAGCCTCACTGTGGGCCGCTGTGTTATGGCGGCGGCTCGCGGAGTAAACAAAGCGATTATCGTTTGTATATCAACATACAACGTTCTCAAAAGCAGATTATTCGTATAGTCAAACAAACAGTGTCCGAATCCTCTTGCAATTAAATAACGAAGTGGTTATTTGACCAGCTATTTGACCGGGACACGCGGGGATTGTGTATGACAGGAATAGTGCTGACGGAGGAACTATACTCGGTACTGAATTGGTTTAATATGAAAACTGTAAAGTGTAAAAAACCAACGGTATTACTCCCATAAGAACTTTGGTTTGACTTATAGAAGATAATCTGTAGTGTCATCGTGAAATATATTCATTTATTTAACACACACACACACACACACACACACACACACACACACACACACACACACACACACGGGTCTTCTGTTCATACTCGCACTGTACAAAACGAAGCCAATGACTCCAGACGCCTATAGGAACACAGCGTCATTACGACTCACCCGCGTCCCAAAGGCTGCCTCATGGACCGTGTTTAGAGAGACTTAAAAAAATGATCAGATATCCTTAGTAAATTATTATCTCTTATCTACGAGGAAAATTTTGCGTACGAGTCCTTAAAAATCTGTGGTTTTTATTTAGTTAAGGATTTATTTGTATAATTAATATTTGTTTATCGTTAGTTTGTAAGTATTGTAAGAGAGAGCCAGGGCTTATTAAGTTATAAAACTATCTCCTACTGCACCCATCTTTGGTCATCCTCTTAGGGATTATGGGGAAATTTTCGTCGGCCTCGACATCTCCAAAGCATTTGGGAGGGTATGGCACATGTCTTTGCTTTCTGAACGTCCCTCTTATAGTTTCTCTCCTCCACTTTGTTCTCTAATTTCTAGCTTCCCTGAGAACCGATCCATGGCAGTTGTTGTCGAGGGATCTACCTCTCGCTTTCTCTACTAATAGTGGTGTCTCACAGGGTTCTGTTCTTTCACCTACTCTCTTCCTACGACTAATTCTATCCCTTCCCCCTAATTCTCAAACTAGATCTGCTTCTAGAGCTGATATCATTTCATCTATCAATGCAGATCTGTGCAGCATCTCCGAATGGGGAGGTACAAACTTGGTTAAATTCAATAGTAATAAAATACAGTGTTTACCAATTACACCTTCCAAAACAGAAGATCTCCCACCAATCACATTTCAGCACGCAACCATTCTGCCAAATTCTAAGAGATATGCTAGGCCTCACCATTTCCTCTAATATGTCATGGAAGCCACACATCCACAACATTGCTAAAGCTGCCCCCCGAAAGCTGGGAATGCTGTACAGATGCTGTAGCTACTTCACTCCTGAGCAGTTGCTTCAAGTATATAAGGGATTCATTCGTCCTAACTTGGAGTACTGCTCTCATATCTGGGGTGGCTCTTCTGTCCAACTGTTAGGGTGGAATCAAAGGCATTTCGTCTTTTTAACTTTCTTCCTTTAGTTGATAATTTTTCTTCCCTTTCTCTTCGCCACAGTGTTGCTTCATTCTCTCTTTTACAGGTACTTTAACGGACAATGTTCGGTGGATTCAGTATCCTGTGCACCGCCAGCAAGGCCGTGGGCCCGTAGCACACGTCTTGCCCGTGGTGCCCACCGTTTCTGTGTGGATGTCGGTCACACTTTAATAACCCGTTATAGTACATTCTTCTTTCCTCACACAGCCAAACTGTGATGCTCTGCCTTCTTCTGTGTTTCCATACTCATACAATCCGTCTCACTTCAAAAAGCTGGTTTTCCGCCATCTTCGTGGTGTAGATTAATTTAGTCTTTTCTCTTCTATTTTTAATTTCTTTTTACTTCTTATTTTTTTTTTGCACCTCCAGGCCCTGTTGTGGGTCTCGACCTGTGCCCGTGTGGGCTATTCTCAAGAAAGAAAAAAAATGTAGGTTGAAGAATTCCCAATACTACAGGTTTTAAAAGTTGGTTGAATAGCTAAAAGCGATTCATTTTCCAACCATCGAATTTTTAAATGATTTTCAAATTTTTAAACACGAGATTTTTTTAATGGTTATTACTTTTTGATGTAACTTTTCAATTTTGTTTCGTTTATTTTTTAGTCGATAATGTCCAGTCCCCAGTTAAAAAAAATTGTGTGTTATGAGGTGATGATTCTCCTATGTGTAAGAAATAAATTAAAGAGAGGAATAAATCCACCGTTGTCACTCAGTATAGTCACTCAGGGTACAGCACTCAGGGTATAGTTACTCAGGGTACAGTTACTCAGGGTACAGTCACTCAGGGTACAGTTACTCAGAAGCAGTCACTCAGTATACAGCCACTCAGAATACAACAACTCAGAATACAGCCACTCAGAATATAGCCACTCAGAATACAGCCACTCAGAATACAACTGCTCAGAATACAGCCACCAGAATACAACCACTCAGAATATAGCCACTCAGAATATAGCCACTCAGAATACAGCCACTCAGAATACAACCACTAGAATACAGACACTCAGGAAACAGTGGACTAGGTAAGAAGCAGTAGAAAGTAATCGAGATAAATCATCTGTCAAAGGAGTGAGATGTGTGAGGCCTTGGCGAGAGAGAGAGAGAGAGAGAGAGAGAGAGAGAGAGAGAGAGAGAGAGAGAGAGAGAGAGGTAAATATACTTTTAGTGAAATATACCAAATGATAATATAGAAATAATACGTAAATAGAATAAACCAGGAAGTAAGGAAATAAATAATAAACTAGACAGAATAGGATAAGTTGATGACTGTGTGTGTGTGTGTGTGTGTGTGTGTGTGTGTGTGTGTGTGTGTGTTTTCTCTGGATTTTGTCTTGATCAACTCAGTTACCCTTATTAGCACTGACAATCCTCTCTTCCTTCTGTGGGTGGCTGGGCGGCGGTGGTTGGGTGGTGAGGCGGTGGGTGGCTGGGCGGAGAATAGGTATACATTGATGGGTGGCTTGGGTGGCTTGGGTGGGCAATGGATGCGTGACGTAGGGATAGAAGGAGACCAGTTTGTGGATAATGGCGCTGATGGGTGGAATGTGGGTGGTTATGTGGGTAATTGGGTGGAGGAGGCTTTTAGGGTGAAAGCAGGGTAGGAGCTTATGGGTGAGAGATAAGGAAACGAATGGTGATTTCCCTGTGGGTTGGACTGGACGTCTCACTGGTGGGGGCTGAGTGATTACCTGTAGGACTCTCTCTCTATTTCATCAACCCACTACCACCCACCCCGCCCACCCACACTGTCCACCCATACCACCCACCCACTTCTCCAACCATACCACCCAACATTGTCCACCCATACCGCCCACCCACACTGTCCACCCATACCACCCACCCACACTGTCCACCCCATACCACCCACCCACACTGTCCACCCATACCGCCCACCCACATTAATCCACCCATACCACCCGTACCGCCCACCCACACTGTAGGGATGATGACAGATGGCAGGATGAGTGACAGATGGTAGGGATGAGTGACAGATGGTAGGGATGAGTGACAGATGGCAGGGATGAGTGACAGATGGTAGGGATGAGTGACAGATGAATGATGAGTGACAGATGGCATGGATGAGTGACAGATGGTAGGGATGAGTGACAGATGGTAGGGATGAGTGACAGATGGCAGGTGGGAATGACAGATGGTAGGGATGAGTGACAGATGCATGGATGAGTGACAGATGGTAGGGATGAGTGACAGATGGCAGGGATGAGTGACAGATGGCATGGATGAGTGACAGATGGTAGGGATGAGTGACAGATGGTAGGGATGAGTGACAGATGGTAGGGATGAGTGACAGATGGCATGGATGAGTGACAGATGGTAGGGATGAATGACAGATGTGAATGATGAGTAACAGATGGTAGGGATGAGTGACAGGTTACTCACCGAAGCGCGGGTGAAGAGTAGCTGAGGCTGGCACTCGGGCGGCAACCCTGCAAGGAGAGTCGAGATGAGTGACAGATGAGTGACAGCGAGTGGTAACGTTATAACATTAGTAGTAACGCTAGTATAGGTAACAGTAGTGTATTAGTAACGGTATTAGATGTAACGGCAGAGAGAGAGAGAGAGAGAGAGACAGACAGACAGACAGACAGACAGACAGACAGACAGACAGACAGACATAATACTACATCTTTTACTGTTATGATTATTTCTCTTCAAAAAATTAATACAATCTCTTAAATATAATGTGTCAATTTTATGGTCATATTTATTATAATAAAGTAGGTAAAATAAGAGCAGTCTCAGGTGTGATGTCATTAATTAAGGGACAATAACCAGGTGTTTGAGGTCCTAAAACATTGTATCTATCACAGAGATGGAGTGTAAATTACTCCATTGTAATGACATGTTAGAGTTATATTTAATTTTTCTTCTTTCAAGGTTTTATTTTTTAACAATTAGATATTAAATTATATCACGGGTCGATTGGTCTCTCTCTCTCTCTCTCTCTCTCTCTCTCTCTCAACTAGTCTCCTCTAAGATCAGGATTCCAAAGCTTATCACTATAATCACTTGCTACACACTGGTAGGAGGTCTGATTACGACTCATCGCTCAGAGGTGCAGAAAAAATTATGCGACAATGTATTTTATTATTATTTTATTCAGTTTGAAATATTTAAATTATATCCTCATTTGTATATTTTTAAAAGTAAATGAATTATTCTACTGTTAAATTCAATGAATAATTATTGTTATTTGTAGGAGAATAATGAATTATGTGTGAGGGAGGGAGGGATCTCTGGCGCTAGTTCAAAGTGTCAGGAGCCGTCCTTTTGCTTGAGATATTAAACTGTTTTGTATTATATTATTGAGCTTAAAAAGTCAAAGATAAACTTCTCCATATTTATATTTGTTGATTAATGTAAATATAAAGTTAGTTACGCTCTCAAGGGAAATACTCAAGAATGATGTGGTATTCGGTGTGTGTTGAGGGAACGACCCACTAGTGCTCACAGCTGCGGACACGACCCACTAGTGCTCACAGCTGCGGGAACGACCCACTAGTGCTCACAGCTGCCCAACAAAGGTTTTTTTCCTCTCAGTGTGTGACGCGAACACGATCGGTCCATAAGTTACCCCAGCTGCCTCGACCTGCCGTATTCTCCTCCTAACTCTCCCTCTTTAAAGCAAAACAAAAAGTACTGTACCTCTCAATCACAACCGAACAACTTTACTGATAGATCCTAAAATTGAACTTTAGGAACGAACCTAAGAGAAAGTTAAATAAAATATAAAAACGTACATTCAAGGTTATTGGATGAAACAGATGAAATAAGTACTAGACCTCTCAAACAGTATCATTAGAGAGTAACAACAGATCCCATCAACAAAAGTTTTAATCTCTAGAATACCACAACGCATCACAGAAAACGTACCGTATTGACTACCATTTATGTGAGACTTAAACATTATGGGTGTTTTCTAAATATATTAAACACAAACAACAAAGAACATATATTTTAACATAAACAACTAAATAAGGACACACACTTCTCTACATTCTACTCATCTTTGGGGGGGGAGGAGGATCGAGGGAAGGTGAGAGTGATTACGACGAGACAAACGTTGGGCAGAACCGGAAATAATCCTCACTTTAAGACTATCAGAACACCTTAGTTTTTCTCCCTCGCTGATTCTACTTGTCAGTTAGCTCTCTCTCGTGAGGACCTTAAACTCTGCCTCATACAGTTCCCTTTAAAGACAACCTTAGTCCTAATTCCTTCTACAGTATTGTGTAAAACTAAATAAAGTTGTTAAGTGAATGTGTGTGTGTGTGTGTGTGTGTGTGTGTGTGTGTGTGTGTGTGTGTGTGTGTGTGTGCGCCTTCACTGTGTCTCTTCTGGTCAACACGAAATAAAGTGTGTAGGTGTGTGGCAAATCCTGATAGGTTCAAGATTAAGGTGAAGACAGAATTAAACTTGTGTCGGAGGGGCGGGGCCGTTGTTAAGAGAGAGAGAGAGAGAGAGAGAGAGAGAGAGAGAGAGAGAGAGAGAGACCCAACAATAGAATTTCCTCTCACTTTCCTTCTCTACACACACACACACACACACACACACACACACACACACACACACACACACACACACAACACACACACACAGACTATCATAAACCATAGCCTCACTGCTCCCATTTCCAAAACCTCCCAGCATTTTCAGATCGTCAACCCTCCCCACTCCCCACCCTCCTCCTCCCCCTCACGTACCAATTACCGTGCCGTCAAGTTCCCTTGACCCCAGCCAGGCTCACTAAATCCATTGTTCGCCAGAGAGATGTTTAAGATCTGTGAATTGTTGGTATATCTATTTGTCAAGGGGATGGGTGGTGTGTGTGTGAGGTGTGTGGGGTGGAGGTGGCTGGGTGAGGGTGGCTGGGTGTGGGTGGGGTTGGTGTGGTGGGGTTGGTGTGTGTGAGGGTGGCTGGGTGTGTGGTGTGTGTGTGAGGGTGGTGTGTGTGTGTGTGAGGGTGGGGTGTGGGTGGGGTTGGTGTGGGGGTGGTGTGTGTGTGAGGGTGGCTGGGTGTGGGTGGTGTGTGTGTGAGGGGTGGCTGGGTGTGGGTGGGGTTGGTGTGTGTGGGTGGTGTGTGTGTGGGGTGGCTGGGTGTGGGTGGTGTGTGTGTGTGGGGTGGTGTGTGTGTGAGGGTGGGTGTGGGTGGGGTTGGTGTGTGGGTGGTGTGTGTGGGGTGGCTGGGTGTGGGTGGGGTTGGTGTGTGTGGGTGGTGTGTGTGTGGTGGCTGGGTGTGGGTGGGGTGTGTGTGTGAGGGTGGTGTGGTGTGTGTGAGGGTGGGTGTGGGTGGGGTTGGTGTGTGTGGGTGGTGTGTGTGTGGTGGCTGGGTGTGGGTGGTGTGTGTGTGAGGGTGTGTGTGGGTGGTGTGTGTGAGGGTGGCTGGGTGTGGGTGGTGTGTGTGTGAGGTGTGTGTGTGTGTGTGTGTGTGTGTGTGTGTGTGTGTGGGTGGTGTGTGTGTGTGAGGGGTGGTGTGTGTGTGTGAGGGGTGGCTGGGTGTGTGTGGTGTGTGTGTGTGTGTGTGTGTGTGTGGGTGGTGTGTGTGTGTGAGGGTGTGTGTGGGTGGTGTGTGTGTGAGGGGTTGGCTGGGTGTGGGTGGTGTGTGTGTGTGTGTGTGTGTGTGTGTGTGGGTGGTGTGTGTGGGGTGTGTGTGTGTGTGAGGGTTGGTGTGGGTGGGGTTGGTGTGGGTGGGGTTGGTGTGGGTGGGGTTGGTGTGGGTGGGGTTGGTGTGTGTGTGTGTGGTGGCTGGGTGTGTGTGTGTGTGTGTGTGTGGGGGTGGCTGGGTGTGTGTGTGTGTGTGTGTGTGTGTGGGTGGTGTGTGTGTGGGGTGTGTGTGTGTGAGGGTTGGTGTGGGTGTGAGGGTGGCTGGGTGTGGGTGGGTGTGTGTGTGTGAGGTAGGTGTGGGTGGGGTTGGTGTGTGGGTGGGGTTGGTGTGTGTGTGTGAGGGTGGCTGGGTGTGGGTGGGTGTGGGTGGGGTGGGTGTGGGTGGGGTTGGTGTGGGTGGGGTTGGTGTGGGTGGGGTTGGTGTGTGTGTGTGTGTGAGGGGTGGCTGGGTGTGGGTGGTGTGGGTGGGTGGGTGTGGGTGGGGTTGGTGTGGGTGGGGGTTGGTGTGGGTGGGGTTGGTGTGGGTGGGGTTGGTGTGGGTGGGGTTGGTGTGGGTGGGGTTGGTGTGGGTGGGGTTGGTGTGGGTGGGGTTGGTGTGGGTGGGGTTGGTGTGTGTGGGGTGGCTGGGTGTGTGTGTGTGTGTGTGTGTGTGGGTGTGTGTGTGTGTGTGGGTGGTGTGTGTGAGGGGTGTGTGTGTGTGTGAGGGTTGGTGTGGGTGGGGTTGGTGTGTGTGTGGGTGGCTGGGTGTGTGGTGTGTGTGTGGGGTAGGTGTGGGTGGGGTTGGTGTGGGTGGGGGTTGGTGTGTGTGTGTGTGAGGGTGGCTGGGTGTGGGTGTGGGTGGGGTGGGTGTGGGTGGGGTTGGGTGTGGGTGGGGTTGGTGTGTGTGTGTGAGGGGTGGCTGGGGTGTGTGTGTGTGTGTGTGTGTGTGTGTGTGTGTGTGTGTGTGTGTGTGTGTGTGTGGGTGGTGTGTGTGTGGGGGTGTGTGTGTGAGGGTTGGTGTGGGTGGGGTTGGTGTGGGTGGGGTTGGTGTGGGTGGGCTTGGTGTGTGTGTGAGGGGTGGCTGGGTGTGGGTGGTGTGTGTGTGTGAGGGTAGGTGTAGGTGGGGTTGGTGTGGGTGGGGTTGGTGTGTGTGTGGGTGGGGTTGGTGTGTGTGTGTGTGTGTGTGTAATGGTAAGAACTCGTTTACAAATGTTTTTAGTGTATTATTGAAAGTGTTAATTTGTTTAGCCTTGAAATATAAAACAACAGATCGTGAGAGAATATTGATGGTGTCTATATTATCTCGTGAGTGTAACCAGGTGTAGCTGTGTAGAGGGAAACACGTGTTAGTTTGTGTAAGTGTAGAGTTTGTTAGTTTGTGTGAGTGTAGAGTTTGTTAGTTTGTGTAAGTGTAGAGTTTGTTAGTTTGTGTAAGTGTAGAGTTTGTTAGTTTGTGTAAGTGTAGAGTTTGTTAGTTTGTGTAAGTGTAGAGTTTGTTAGTTTGTGTAAGTGTAGAGTTTGTTAGTTTGTGTAAGTGTAGAGTTTGTTAGTTTGTGTAGTGTAGAGTTTGTTAGTTTGTGTAAGTGTAGAGTTTGTTAGTTTGTGTAAGTGTAGAGTTTGTTAGTTTGTGTAAGTGTAGAGGTTTGTTAGTTTGTGTAAGTGTAGAGTTTGTTAGTTTGTGTAAGTGTAGAGTTTGTTAGTTTGTGTAAGTGTAAGAGTTTGTTAGTTTGTGTAAGTGTAGAGTTTGTTAGTTTGTGTAAGTGTAGAGTTTGTTAGTTTGTGTAAGTGTAGAGTTTGTTAGTTTGTGTGAGTGTAGAGTTTGTTAGTTTTTGTAAGTGTAGAG